CAACTCTTCTGCTACACGACACAACCACCTTTCCTGAACTGGCAAACTTCCATTCCAACAATCCCAAACACTCCATGTATGGTATATGTACCTACATTGGGTTGGTTTGAGGGGCCAATGTAAGCATATATATGACAGACATGGAGTGTCTGGGACTACTTTCAATGACTGCCACACGTTGCGCCGTAACTATGAGCTTCAACCCTGCCCATAACCCCAACCCCCAGTTGGTCTTGTTGGGTTTGGCAGTCCGGGCCAACCCAAACAGAACAGCTTCCTCCCCTACTAGTACACCTCCAATCAGTCGATTCGAGTTGCTGAGTGGTCCTCCGAGGTTCGTTGGGAACCTGCCCACGGTGATCGGCTCTTCATGCCGTCCGAAACGGGCTCACAGACCTGTGGTGAAGACCCCTCTAAACCGGAGTCGTTGGCAGCCGGAACCGGCTCAACACTGCGCCTGCCTGACACACTGTGCTTGCACAAAAGAGTGCGTTTCTGTGATCAACCCGAACAATATCCTTAGATGGCTGCATGTAAGCAACCGCATGGAATCTGCAAGGGTGGGTGATGATCCAATGTGTGTGTGCGTGCATGGAACAGGTTTCTACGAAAAACAGGACACTTTCTGAGGCCTACCCTCAATACTCCTGAACCAATGCCAAACCACAAAGTAGTTTCCATACATACATTCCAATCGTTGTGCAAGTTGCCTTCCAAAGGGCCCAAAGGCGCTAAAGCGAGGCCCTCCCCCAAGGCACCCCGAAAACGCGATGGCGATGACGTGTACACATGAATTACTTCTTAGGATCTAGCTCGAGTGTAGGACTCGTTGCAAAAAAGACCAGTGAAAAAATAAACGCTCAAATGATTTGTACTAATTTATACAGTTCCATTGCTTAACATGGAGCTGTGGCTTGGACAGATGGAGCTTACAGTCGCGCTATACGGCTACACTGTGACGTTCGACTCCCTGCTCACACCTCTGGGCGTTACAACTCCGAACAGCGAACGAAGCATCGTTCACGCGTGGGGTTCCCATGTAAGAACAGCTGAAAAAGCATCCGATAGTTAGTTGGTGGAATCAAGTCCAATCGGGTCCAACCATCACCAATCCATTGAGACGTATGGGTTGGTGGCTGGTCATGAACCTTCCAGTGAGCTCATTTGAGTTGAAGCCATCCAAGACCCAGGAAGGTTGCGATCCAACTCATGCTTGACTCTCATTTCCTCGGGCATGAGGCCCAAAAAAAGAAGTCACACAAAAACATATACAGGGTCTCTGAACAAAGCCCCTGAACACCTAAAATGTTCAAGCTTGTTGCTTGTTGCTGGAAACAAACCATGTTGTTAACAAAAATCAGATTCCAGGCTTATCGGAGCTCAGCCTCAATGCTCTAAGACGTGTTTCATCGTCAAACAACAACTGCACGCTGCTTCAGATTCGTGGTCCAGATTTCTAGTAGTAGTAGTAGTAGTTGTTGTTGTTGTTGTTGTTGTTGTTGTTGACTGCTTGTTTTGAATGCAAAGCGCCGGTTCAGGTGATGGTAGGGGTTTACCATACTTGGCGCCGATGCAAAACACTGCACTTTTGGCGACCGGCGTGCGTTACAACCCATGACCCACTGTGCTGCAGGTTGCCCCGTCCCAAGGGCAGCGGCAAGGGCCAGGGCCTTTTTTTGGCAAAGCCATAGCAAAGCTTCAAATCCGTTTCTTGCGTGAAGATACGCAGGAAATCTTCAGGAAAATTGATGAACGAAGGTCCAGACTCCGTCTGGATCTCTGCCCCACAGAATCAGAGAGAAGATATATATATATATAACAATATAATATAGAACATATATACATATATAACGTAGATCAGCATGGACAAATTCAATGCAATGGCTCGATGTTCCTGATTGCTATTAGGTTGGAGGCCATTGCTATTAGGTTTATTCTTCATCTCTGAGGATCAAACATTCGTCGCCTGCCAAAGGCCTCTCACTCTCCTTCTCTCACTGCGCCTCCAGCCAGGGAAATCTTAACCAAGGCGCCCAGTCAACGGTAAGGGCACTGTGGCCAGCCAAAGAAAGTGATCAGTGTAGACTGTTGATTAAAAGCCACCCTACCAGAAAGGTTTTACATCTCCATATGGGGTGGTTTTATTGTCTATATAGATGATCCAAGGATGTTGTTTAAAGAGCTAGAAGTTCCAACAAACCATGTTCGTATTTTTCAGCCAACATAAACTCGGGCGCATTCACAAATAACCGGCCACGAGCGGGAACAGCCAGCAACGCGTCAAGTCGCGTCAAGTCAACGAAGCTGAAGTTCAACTACTACGTGCACTCGTCGTCTAAGTCAACCCACATGCGCTTTAAGTCAAACCCTGATCTTTCACGCCTTAAGGGCACGCATTCACGGAAGTACGTCGTTTTGAATTTGGCAAGTCGGTGTTAGACAATCACTGCACACACACAATCAAAGCCTTGGACCTCCTTGGACTCATTTTGCATGGTTTTCTGGAAACAAAACCCATTGGGTGACTACCACCGCAGCACCCCAGGTATGCGAACGTACTACTACGTGTTGAAAACAACTGTTCTAAGATGTTCTAAGCTGGAGTGTGTGTGTGTGTGTGAAGGAAGTTGATAAGGAGCAACACATGTTTTTTAACTGCTGGTATTTACGGCGCTCTTGGGCACTCAACCAAGGGGGTGTAAGGTTTGTTGAACATGTGACCCGCCTATAGGCGGGCCCACAAATGGGTAAAGTCTGTCTTGCTTAAGTGGATAGAATGGTGTCCATCCTGCTCGAAATATAACCTGCACTTGGCCCACAATGTTTGCAGTGAAATTGTATGAAATGGCCGAAAAAGGTTGTGGAAGGTGTGTTTTGAATGTTCCCCCTGGGGTGGGCGCAAAAAAATGTGGAAGACCTGACATGCTCACCAAGGGCGAGTGGTTCACAAAAGGGTGTGTATGCGAAAGGAATGGCGTGTTCCTACTCCAAAAGTTTACCCTTGGTTGGCCCACAAAAGGACGTGTAAGGCTGGGATAGCTCATGTTTACTATGAAATTTGACCCTCACGTGGCCCACACAGGGCAGCAAAAAGGTCTGGTTTAAATGTTACCATGGGCCACAGCAGGATTTGCCAGGTCTGTCATAATTTTTTGCTCTCACCCTGAACACTGGAGATCACTGGAGGACACATAGGATAATAAAGAAAACCACAATACCATAGAACAAAAAACACACCTTACTAGCAATAGGACCACCACATGTTTGTTTAAAACAAGTGTGGCCTGCCGCCAGAACCAGGGGAGGAGCATGTGCCATCACCACAACATGGCGGGGTTTAGTTCCGGAGCATGTGACCCGAAGTGACGCAGCAACTGGCCGATAGCAGATTGGATGACTGCTGTGATGGTGTGATGGTGTGATGAGTATGATGACGACTCGTGTGTGATAATTCATATTGTGATGTCTGACCTGATATAGCATGAGCTCAACAAACACAATGGATCACAATGGAACGTCAGCATTTTAACTTCCAAGGAACAAAGACATTGGAAATACGAACATCATTGCATCCTTTCAAGACATCTGAGAAGAACATCGCCTATCATCCACAAAGCGCATGACATGGCATGGGCATAGCCGAACATCCGGGTCAACTGAGACACAACATGACGAGTCCACGTCGGAATACCCAGTGCTGCCCGGTTCGGGCGGCAGGGTGGCATCTATTGCTACAAGTCCGCAAATAGATAGTGGCACGGTTTCCAACACATTTTTAGTGGGGATCTACGAACTTTTATCTATTTGGGGAAGTGCCCCAGTCCAGTGGCAGGCGGCTCAAAGAGCCAAGGCCTTGCCATCTTGCTCAAGGATCCAGGACCATCTGTAACACAAACTCGAACTGCCCTGCAGGCCCTGCAAGAGGCCAAGGCACGAACCAAGTCTCGTGCATGACATGTTTGACGAAGAAGAAGGTTGCTGGACCACTTGGGGTACTTGCTCAAATCTTGCAAGCACGCAAAAAGACAGGCATCTGACTCGACCAAGCTGCCGAGCTTCGCTGCATCTGGGTTCGGAGGAGTCAATGACCATCTTTGATTGGGCATGTTTGGCGGACAGGAAACGCACGTTGACATCCTCATAATCTGGGAACATCACGATCTTTGACATCCGACTTGCGATGCAATCGCAAGAGAAACGATGCCGAACAAAAAAAGAACTCCAAAATCTGTAGGCAAAGGCAACTCAAAGACTAAATATGGCTCTGCCCACTCCTGAATGTTCCTGTGTGCTCCACTACTGAGCCAGTTCATGGATGTCTGTTCCCTCGTTTGAGTTTAGTCTTTGATCATTGATGATGCTGATTCCAGTGGCTCTAAGGGATAGCACAGAAACAACTCTGCACAGCTGTTGGCTTCTTTAGATACAGAAAATGGGACGTCTTAAACACTTTCAGCGGAAGGGCGTTCAGAACGCTGTCCAGCTGTTGGCATCTATCAACTGTACTTTCAGATGTATAGTGCCACCGTGGACTGGAACATCACAGCAGTTGGGAGTTGGCTTCAGACGGACTTCGAACCGGGTCCGAGCCGTCTCGTTGGGAGTTGGGGGAGAACTTGTCATTCGCCTCATGGCGAGCAAGCCTTCTGCACAAGTCTCCAAACTCAGCCTCCCATTCCTCCGCCGAAAAGACGTTCACCTCGGCTTCGAACTGGAGGAAAGGAGGCGGCGTGTTGGGATGTCGCTGAGGCACTGAGGCACACAAAAAGGCGCGTCAACACGCCGGCGCACGGCAGAATGGTTAAAAGGTAATTTAGAAACAACATAATAAAGTACGTTGGGTACGTTGGCCCCCCTCCATTTTATATTGGGAAACCGCCACGGGTATACATAATGTACAATGACTAGTGTTCTCCACACATGCATACACACGTGCAAACCCGATGTCCGATGATATGCGATGCATATGAACACACCGACTTCTTTGGGAACAACGACATGAATGACATGTTGGCTTCCGGCGTCGCCCGCAACATCAGCGGAAAGGTGCCAAGATCATGTCATTGAAACATCTTTCTAGAACAGATTTCAACTGATTGAAGCAGGGGAAAAAGGCAAAGGGGCAAACCGTGGAAGACCAAATCGCGAGTGCATTCCAAAGTTCATCAAACAAGCAAACGCGAACTCAGCGGTTACCCCATCAATTCGAGGTTCCGTGGTTGATCTTGCCAACATCGGCTTGGCAAAACAGTTGTTTCGGATCCACAGTCCACCTGCATGGGTGGAAACCACCCCGACCACCCATTTTGAAAGGACGGGACATGAAACACACAATAATATGATCCCAATATACTGAAGCTTCCTTTAAGCAAAACGTGGCATCTTGAAGAACTTCTCAACCCACAAGAGAAGTTAACCCCTCGGCCCCCACCAGGAAGAGCTGCGCGCTGCTCCCGCACTCCATGCGTGACGCGCGGGGCCGCGGCCGGAAGCATCGTCGAGGTGGAGAGATCCAATTCCTGGGGCGGTCGCGGAGTTCGGCGGCGGTTCGGCGCAGCGTTCGGCCTGGAGGATCGATCCACCGGAGTCGTGGCGGAAGGAGAACCTGGCCCATGGCCTATATATATATATATATATGGGTGGCAATATCCGGACCTTCAGTACGTGACCCGAACTTGATATCCCAGGATTTTTTTTTTTGTCCGGCTCTTTTGCTGCAGCTCACGAGTTGGGCTCATGCCAACATTGACCTAATGTCAAGGGATGGAGTCGTAGGGCATCGTCGTCGGAGCTTCTCGGTGAGGAGGACGACATCTTGCTGAACCCTAGTGCGTGAATGGCACTTCTGGCATTCCACCGTGTTCCCAGTGCGGTGCATCTGATGCGTGGAATGGCCATGCCAGCGATCACTCGCCAAAGGGCCATGATGGCAAACTTCCCCCAGGAACCGGTTGAAAATGTCCTCTCCTGCCCTGGCCAGCACGTAGGAGCGACAAAGGTTGCAGCGTAAGTACGCTTTCTCCAACCGCAGGTGGTGTATGCCCGGTTTGGCCTCCCCTTGGGACTCAAGGAGATCGTGAATGATCTCAAAGCGGGTCTTCTTCTGGGTCTGACAGGGAGCCGCCTGGGCACATGGTGCTGTGAGGCCTTCCCGAAGCTCCTTGATCAACGATTTGGTGTGAAATCGCACTCGGCAGAGGCTGCATCGGACTCCTGATCTGTAGACCTGCCATTGGTGACCATGTGCCTGGGGTTCTTTGAGAAAGCAGGCCAAAAGATCCTTCTTCTGCTGGACCATGGGGATCTTGGAGTTGTCCGCCATGGCTGACTTGTTGTGAAGAAAGTGTTCTTTGCAAGTGAGGAGGATGTTCATCCTGCTGCCTGCGACACTTAGGACATCTCGTGTGTCTTCGTCAATGTGCTTCTGTAAGTCTATGATCTCTTCCGGCCTGGCAAGAAGTGCAGCTTGCGTGGCCTTCGCCTGTGTGTCCTGCTGGAAAGCCTTCCTGTTGAGGTTGGAGTCCATCTCACGACGGCTGAAGAGGAGTAGGCGGACTTGATCAAAGTCTTCGTGCTCCAAGCCCGCGCTGAGGTCTGGGAAATGATCATGTGCCGGCATGAAGGACCAGTTCTTCCATATGGAGTGCTGGAAAACGGCCACGTGGACTTTGTCCCTTATGTGAAGGGAAAGGTGCTTCAGTCCATAGAACAGGGCCCTGAGCCTGGTAGCTTTGCCCGGGCAGATGCCAGTCAAAGATGCCACACGTTCTTTGGTGAAAACCTGATGAATGCAAATGGCAAAAACATACCGGCGATGACGAGGATCTCGGGAGGTGGGAGCTACCGCCAGAGAGACCGCATGGCCAGCTGGCAAGGTGCAGGCTTCCAGATCGGCCCAGAGTCCTTCACCAGAGAAGGTAGCCATTCCTCCGTCCTGGATATAGAAGATGGACTGGGTCATCCCACGGTTCCAGAGTTCGGGCTCAGTGTTGGCCTGGATGCGGTCTCGCCATTGATCTGGCAGCGCCTGAACTCGTCCTTCCCAGAAGCTGCATTCCCAGAGGAGGTGAATGAAGGTCAGCTCAACTCCGCAGAGAGGACACTTGCCAGTTTGCCCGTGTAGAGTGCCCTGGTGTAGGGCCCGGACGCCGACGGCAATCTTCTCACTCGTCATCTTCTGAAGCGTTTTGCTGACTGACCAGTCCAATTTCCTTTCTAAGTCGTGGCAGCCCTCATACCTGGTCAGGCGCAGCAAGCGTTGCCAGTGGAATTCCTCAGTCAGCTTGTGAAGAATCTCAGGCCACAGGGCTTCCAGGCTGATGGTGCAATCAGGGATGCCCCCGTAGCCGGTTCGCTTCCAGAGCTTGCCGTTGGAGATGTCGAAGTCGTAGTCCAACAGATAGGCTTGCAGGGCTTGAAGGGGCCCTGTGACAACTTGCCAGCGATGCTTAGCCTTGAGGCGGAGATCAAGGGCTGAGTTCCAGCTGATCCAGAAGAGGTTCTGGGCGCTTTCGTCAAAGGAATGCAGGACCTTCCAGACAGTGTGGATGTGTTGCAAGATGATGGAATCGCCTGGGTCGCTCTTGTCGGAGTGGATGTCAAAGACAACATCGACTGAGCCGGATCGTTGGAGGCCGAGACCTCTGGCAGCCAGGACCCGTAGTTGTTGGCGGCGTTGTGGAGCCAGCCCATTTGCCTGAGCGCCCCAGGACATCACGGGGTGGATAGCTCCTCGGTGGAGCCTGTACTTGGTTGTCATGCCCAGCTTGAGTCGGTGCATGATCCCAACTCGCCCTCTACCCTTGAGGAAGCGCTTCTTGATCTGGGTGATGCGTCGTCGCCTGGAGTTGGTAGCATCGATGCCCAGGTCACGGAGGATGTTGTGATGCTTGGGGTCATCTTGTCTGAGGAGGGCATCCAAAGCCTTGGCGGATTCCTTGCTGCTGGTGATGAAGCCGGTCTTTTCAGTATTGAGTTTGAGACCCTCCTCAGCCAGCTTAGCTTGCAGAGTTCGGAAGGCCAAGACCGCCTCCCTTGCAGCGTAGTCCGGATCCGTGCCTTTGATGTCGAAGGAGACATCGTCCACCCATGTCTGCAGAATGACGGCCGGGTGTTCAAGAACAAGGGCACGAAGTGGCCGGAAGAGCACCAGTTTGGCTATTGCAGGGGCCTGTGGACAGCCTTGGAGGATGCCCTTCTCATAGTACTTGGGATCACCAGCAATGCCCTCTGCTTGGATCAGCCTGGGGCCCGTGTAGAGGTCCAGAGCAAGCTTGAGGTGAAGCGGGGGGTAGTCCAGCTCCATGGCGGGCTCGATGAGATGATCCAACTGCACCGTGTCGTAGAAGCAGGTGAGGTCAGCAAGGCAGGTGACGGTATGAATGCCCTGATGCTTGCCAATCTCAGCTTTGAGCATGCGACCAACTGCAATGGAGAGGCAGTCCTTATGTGGTCGTGCATGATCCCATGGCATGTCCATGTCCAGGCCGAGCTGCCATTTGTGAAGATCGTGCTTGCGGTAGCTGTTCCAAAGCCGGTAGATGCAAGAGGTGAGAGCGATAGGTCGCTCAATGCGCTCGCTCTTGGGGATCATGACGATGTTGGTGTGCCTCAGCTGAAGAGGTAGTTCGGCTTCCTGTTCCATCTCAGTGAGGAGACTGGCCAGCTTTTCCACCGCAGGGTAGGGAAGATGGCGAAGAAAGTCGTAGGAGATGCCATCCGGCCCCGCTGCTTTGTTGGGGAGTCGTCGCATCAACTTCTGGAGAAGACTGGAATCGATGGCCTTGATCTGCTGGGCTTGTGCTTGGGCAGCTCGCTTGAGATCAGGTAGGCCTCTGATTGGCAAAGGGTCAGTGCGCGGGGTCCATATGTCGCCCCATTGCTGTTCCCTGGCTTGGATGCGAGAAGTGGATGGCAAGTCTTGAAAGGGACGTTGCCAAGCATGGTCCTTTTGTCGCAGGCTGCGAAAGAGTCCTCTGAGACCTTTGTCATGGGCCTTTTCCAGCCATTCCCTGAATTCATGATTGGTGGCACTGAGGAGTTGCTCTTGAGCAAGTTGAAGCTCATGTTGGACACGTTGGAGGAGGTCTGAAGGATCAGGGTCTCCGCCAAAGATCCACTGGAGCAGCCGTTCCTCAAAGCTGTGGCAATCCAGGTCCTGGGAGGCATGTTGTGAGATTCTCGTGGCCATGTCTTTGAGGTCTTGAAGCAAACCAGGGTAGCGGCCATGATGTGCCAGGTTGATCTTGATGCCAAGTTTCTCCCAAAAGGCGGCACTTCCTTTCTTCCAGACTCTCGGTTTGGTGGAGCTGGCTAGAGGGGCCAGACGCAAATGGATCTGGGATCCTCGGCCAGTGACAGGCCTGGTCAAGTGCTGGGTGAGGTACTTCTCCGTTTGGGTGGCCCACCGGGCTAAGTCGGAGCCTAGGCCCGTGATGTTCTGCCCGAGGATGTGGAAGGGGCCATCCTCCTCTGTGAAGCTGGTCCAGAGATGCTTGGGGTGATAGTTCCGGGTGATGGGCGGAAACCGTTGAAGTTGTTGAACCGCAACCGCCGCTTGAGCACAGTCAAATTGAAGAGCCAGGGCGCAGTGTGGCTTCCAAGGGACTTCCCAATCTGCTTCCAAACGAAGAGCAGAGGCGATGGAGGTGGAGGCCAAGATAAAGTCCAGTTGACAGCCCTGCAAGGTGGTCGGCCCCGGCGTGGCAAGAATCTGAGCCCGGAACTTGCTGGGGATAGTGGTGGCCGCCAGGTCTTCAGGAGCTGTCTGCCAATCACCTCCAATGATGAAGGGAGCCTGAAGGTGGTCAAGGAATTGCAAAAGTTGCCCCAGGAGATCGGCGTTGAGCGGGGATTGAAGCGGTTCCCCAGTGCGCAGGTACAGCTGGATGAGATAGAGCTCCAGGCCGTCTCTTTGCATTACCAGCGCAGTCCATCCATTGCCCTGCTTGGTGTAGGTGTGGACATGATGGATGAGGTGTCTGGTGGCAAACAAGGTGAGGAAGCCCCCGGTGGCGCCTCCGTTGCCTGTAGGTTCAGCCTCCACACCATGACATTTCCAGCCCCGGCAGTTGAAGTACTGCAGAGTGGTGTCCAGGGCTTTCCTTTGGAGGTGTGTCTCCTGGAAGAGCATGATGGTGTTGCCTTGTGTCCAGACCCAATCTTGAACCTTTTTCCCGAAGAAGGTGATGTTGCTGAAGGTGATGTGGAGGGTCTCGTGGCAAGAGCGCGGTTTCTTCGGTAGGTATTCGGCCACTTCCATGGCTGTGTCCGGGACCAATTCATCCGTAGGAGCTGCGACGAGCCAGATCTGAGAGATCTCGCGGCGTTGCTGTGAAGAGAGTTGTGGGAGAGGAGTGGGAAAGGTCCCATCATCAGCAAGCCAGTAGATGTTGTCGATGGCCAATATGGTCTGGTAATGCCCGTTCTCGTGAGTGGCACCTTGATGTAGCACCATGGCCACCACGTGATACTTGGCCATATGGACATGAAATCCATCTTCAGAAAAGGGCAGGTTGACCTTGGTGTCGAGCTCGAGCTCACGGTGGTGTTTGGTCCAAGTGCCCTCTTGCAAGGTGGAGCGCTGGAGGTTGATCACCACTCCCCCTGGGGAGCCGTACAGGAACTGGCCCTGACCCTCGTCGGCCCAAGAGTTGACCAAAGTGTCCAGGGTGAGCGGTCCATCACCATCCGGAAAGATGAAGTTCAAGGGAAATTGTTCCCGCTCCTCTGTGTGCCCTCTCTCGCTGCGATGGAAGAAGCGCCCAGCAAAGAAGGAACTGCCTGAGTAGGTCCACAAGGCATGAAGGAAGTCCACAGCGTCAGCTTGCTGATCCTGGTCAAACTGGGCCCAAATGTGCTGCATGCCCGGGAGACTTGGGAGTAGCTGTGGCTCATTCTCGGACAGATAATGGCGCACCGCCGTGGTAGTGTGGCCCCAGGCTTGGGCGACATCATCCGCAAAAGCCCCGGTCCAGCACCAACACCTCCAGGGCGCATTGCCATAGCAGAGATTCCTGGGGTTTTGCAAGACACAGGTGAGGCACTGAGAGACGACAAAAATGTTTGCCACGGTGTGGTCCACTTCCCCTGGGACACTGAGGTGGCTTTGAATGAGATTCTGCATCCGCTTTAGGTCCATGAGAAGCTGATGCCCCCTTGGCAGAGTGGGGTTCCTGCCATAGCGCTGACACGAAGTGGTCAAGTCTTTGCTGCAAAGATCAAAAAGAGTTTTCTGTTCAAAAGTGAAGGGATAGTCATCTTCTCCCTCCATGTTGAGGAGGCGGGCCAAAGACTGTACAGCTGAGGTCCCGTAGACAGCAGTCTCCCTGGGGAGCTGCTCTGAAGTAGAAGAACACGGTGCCCCTGCTGCCCAGTCGCCCTGACCCTCGTGAGAGGATTGAGCCCCTCCACAAACCTTGAGTTTCCTCAAGGGCTGTCTGCACGGACCATAGCCCGCCCCAAATGAAGAAAGGCCCGAACTTGAGCCTGAAAGCATAGGATCAACTGAGAGTGCATGTCCCCTGCAAGCCAGTTGAGAAGGCCCCATGTCATGAACTGAAATGCATGACTGAAGTTCCCTGTGTGAGAGAGAAAAACCCGGAGATGCCAAGGGCAGCAAGGGGCTACCCACACGACGCTGTGTTGCCAAGTTCTGTCTTTCGGCGTTTTGCTTCTTCGTCTGTGACTTCCGCAGCAACCGAAGGACGTTTGAGCATGACATGCAGCTGGTCTTTTTGTTCCTGAGTGAGGCTGACTCCAAGAGTGTTGATGAAGCCTGCCACTGCGGCGGGCACAGAATCATCCATCCCGGTTTCGAGAGGTTGGAGAGGCATTTCAGCCTGGGAGGAACTGACCTTGGTGAGGTAGGCCGTGCTGATGGTGTTGAGAGATGCCTGTTCCTGCTCAAGTTTGCTTTGCAGAGACTTCATTTCGTCTAAAAGCTCTTGGTAGTGCTTCTTGGTGTTGTCGATCTTCTGCTGCAGGAGCTGCTTCTTTTGAGAGATGTCCCGCAGTGTGGTGACTTGCTGCTTTAGCCTGGTCGCCATGTCCTTTTCCGTCTCGGGCTGGGGTTTGGTGATCTTCTCTACCAGTTCCTTGACGGGAGCTGGCAGACTGGCCAAGTTCTCCTTGAGGACATCTGTCAAGTCCGGCTCCACAACCTTCTGGGTAGGATTGATGCCCACTTGGGAGAGCTTCGTCCGAAGGGCCTCATCAAGCGAGTCCCATGCCGGTGCAAGGATCTCGGATGCTGTCTTCTGAAGCTTGGACGAGCGAGGCGGCCTTTGCGTGCTAAGACCCGGAGGCGGTGACACCCGGTGAGGTCTGTGTTTGCTCCAGGTGGATGGGCGATCATCTCGAGCCTGTGCAAAGCCATGCTGAGGCTTCTTCCACGGAGTGCCACAGAGGCGGCAAGTGAAGTTGGCCTGAATGCGGTCCTCCCAGATCCAGTTATGACATCCGGCTTTGCCACAGCATTGATATGCCCTCATCCACGTCATGCCGGAGCGCTATGCCAGGTGCCAAAGGGCTCGACAGGGGTGGCCAGCAGGAAGACGTGTGGAAGGGGCGTAGCGCCAGTGCCGAAGGGGTCGTCGAGGCAAGGAGAAAGGCGCTGTCTCTTGAGCAGAAATGGCTTGAGCCTGATATCCCAGGATGAGGTCACAAACAGGTCTGTACAAGGTCACTTAAATTAGAGACTCCAAAATAAGAGGTCACAAACTGAATGAAGATTTTGAAGGTCCTGGATTCTTGCAGTGATGTGATAGGAGATAGGATATGATAGGAATCCAGGTGTCTGGGGTGTAAAAAACCTGGCCACCCTTCGCGTCACTTGGACCTGATCGATCCACCGTCGTTCTATATATAGAGTGGGGTGTTCAGACCCCAGGCCTCGCATGGCTGATGCAACGACCAGTCAAACACTCGAAAGTCACAGCCGGACCAAAAGGTATAGTTATTAATCCTAGGAGTTTCCTGGAGTATTGATACTGTAGCTTATGAAAAAATCAACAAACCAATGGGAAACTGGTCATGTTTTTGGGTTGGTTCAAATTCCAAAATATCATACATTGCATTGCAATGATTAAAAACCAAACACAACTGCATTCTTGTTTTGAATCCCATCCAGTGGATCAACCCCAAACGTCCCAATAGGTACCCAGTGGTTCTGGTGCACTCCTGGTCGCCCACATTGGTGCGTCACACCGCCCCACGCCGGTCGCGGACGCGCGCGCGCCAGGCTGCATGCGATTCGTCGCACTTTTGGAAGATCTCGTGTCCTGCAGGGAGCGAAACGACACCCGGAGCCGCATCGGGGCAGCTCGTCGACCAGACGATGACAAAAACACATCAGACTGCCTACGGCGGTGCTCAATGTGGGATCCAGTAGACTGAACTAGGCCGAGACGGGCCCGGATTGGATCGGTTTGAACAGCCCGGACATGCACTCTAGCAGGAGGCCCCCGAAATACGTGGTCGACCGGTATGGGCTAGAACCGGTCAAATGGATAGAAACAAGATCGACTTACAAAATCTTACACAATCTGGCAAATACTGATACCTAGATCTAGGTATTACTAGACTAGATTGATCATATACAGGAATACACGACAGTGCAACGAAACATGATTCAAGCTAACAGTGGGTTTAGATGGTTTTTGGTATATAACTTTTGCTGTTGCAAAGATCACCCCACCATACCGAATCTGAAGCACGACACCTCTTTCACGACAACAACCTGAGACCTGAGTGTTGCCCTGAGATCGTTTCAAGTCTTTGCATTTGCAGCAGCCTAGCCTTCGAGCCTTAGTTGACAAGTATAGATGAAGAACACCGACGACAACAACAAGTCAACAACAGCAACAACAACAACAGCAACAACAAACAACAAACACCAAACAACAAACAACAACAAACAACAAACAAAAAACACACAATTAAGCAAACAAACAAACAAACAAACAAACAAACAAACAAACAAACAAACAAACACACAAACAAACAAACAAACAAACAAAGAAACAAAGAAACAAAGAAACAAACAAACAAACAAACAAACAAACAAACAAACACACAAACAAACAAACAAACCACAACCACAACCACAACCACAACCAGGAGCTCTGCCCATGATGGGCGTGGAGGACCGCCTTGTTTCGAAGGACTGCGGCATCCAGCTTTCTGCATGCTGGCACCACTTCCCATGGCGGCACGAGTGGCACCAGCGCGGTCCCCACGTTGACCCCAAAGCCCAAACTGGCGACGGGTCAGTTGGACGGATGCTTTTTTCGCCAGATGCTTGGTTGACTCGGAACCCAGAGCATCCTAGGGATTGGAACATGCCCAGACACGACTAATGGGACTGGCATAGGACTGCCGATCAATTGACCCCCAGTCAACCACCCCTGGCCTGATCGGCATATATGCCATACATGGAGTGTCTGAGATGGATGAATCCCATTCGTGGATGGATGACCTGGGGCCCTTCGCCGCGATACCCAACCTGAGTCTTCAAGACTTCCTCGTAGCGCTCCACAGACAAAAGCCCTTGCCTCGCGCGGGGGAACCAGGGAAATCGTTGGCACACACGTGTGTTCTGTTAGGCCGCATAGTATGAAGAGGGGGAGTTCCTTCCCCTGCCACCATGATCAATACGTGAAATTCCTGATCCGTAAATTCGGTCCTTGTTGCTCTATAGTGTCACAGGTTTTACCTCACGCATCGGCCGTGCATCGGCTGCGCATCGGCGGGGTGAGTGATTCACTAGCTAGGTGTTTCAGCGATCGAAGAAACATCAGCTGAGGAGCTGAAGTCGCTTCACCAAATCCATGTTCACCACCACATCGTTCCGGGTCTGAAGACGATGGTCGAGTCTTGCGGCGTCGACTTCAGCGGCGAAGCGGGTGATTGAAACGGCGAGCACGAAAAAGAGCTGGATCTTTGATGCTTGCAGGGGCTATGGTTGTGCAGGTTTAGTCAAAAAGGATACTAAAAAAAATAAAAAACATCTATATAAAAGTATCAGCTGTTCACAAATATAGGGACCTCAAGAAAAAGAAGAGAGGGCCGGCCAAGATCACCTGCGGGATCTTGGATCACTTTTCACGATTCCTTCGCTCCAAAACTCACGGGGCATCGGACCCTTCCGGGTCAAAACAGCTTGCGCTCGCAGCTACTGACGCAGCCAGCTTGGCGCTCGTGCGAGCGCGTCCGTATCGCCGCGAGGTGTCCGGCGCCGCGGCGGGGGACAAAGTCGAGACGCCCAAGGCTTGCTCATGGCGTCCACGAAGAAACGCCTCGCGTGAGCGCACCGAAACAAAGTCGCGGGAAGCGCGCGGGACGCGCGCGCGGGCGCAGGCGGGACGTAGGCAGGCTGGACCGCCGGGACTTGTGGGGTGTTTGGCAGCTTCGCTTGTGTACTTCGGTACGATTTGGAAGGAAGTGATCTTGCTATAGAATGATCCAACAAAATAGACACAGAAATTAGCCAGTGAACCAACTGCCAGTTGGTTTCGATGCGCATGTTCAGGATGGTCAGGGGGATGTTAACTGTAGAATTGGCAGGTTGAAGATGCTATGATCACCAGTTGGTCTCGGTCCAGCAGTGGGGACTATTTGAGTTTGTTACTTAATCTTACTGTCTTGGTAATAGTTCTGGTGACTCTCTTGGCATGCAAGACCCCTCACGTTCGCCTACGAGGGCTTTCAAGTGGCACCTTCTCGGATCTGTAGAGGAGCAGCTGAGCAGTTAGCAGGTGTTTTTTATTTTTTTTAAAGAAGAGCTGCTGCCCTTCTTCAACAACGCAACCCCGAAACGCCTCGTTTAGGGCTCAAAGCCACCAGGCTTTGAGGTTTTAAGTTAGACAGCTCACTACTAGCTAAGCACAAGTCACTTGGGGAGAACCAAAATGCCACAACGAAGCATTTGTGACCAAGCTGCTGCTTCTTGTTGGGTGGCAAATCACCCTCCAATAGCCTCGCAGTTCCAGTCTTGGGAGGCGGCTAGAGTGACCTCTTGGACCAGGCTGTTCTCCCGCAGGGGTGGGGCGGATCAGGACGGTCTCAATGGAAAAAGGGGCCCCTTGGGCTATGAACTGATAGGTTTTTTTGTAGTATGCAGCTCTAATTTAAGATAGTTTGCATTAGTTTGCATCAAGAATTCGATCTGAGATTCCCAAGGTCGCGTTGATGGAAACCAGGTACCACCAATTCCTGCGTCGGGAATAATTGAGGCCCTGGATTTTGAGAAACGAGGGAAGTGTGCCATCTAGTTCTTCTGGAGATCCTACAGGCATCACCACCTCATGTCTTGGCGCCCAATGTCGTGGCAAAAGCCATGGCAAGTGCTCTGGTTCCAAAAACGCCACCAAACGTGGAGACTTAACAGAAACAGCCCGGTGCTGAAGGGTCTAGGCAGGCCACTTGAGCCTGTTTCACTTGGGATGGCACTATCAAATATGATGAATTTTGAGAAATTCATTCATAGACATCCAACTGCAATTGTATGAAATCTTGAGGCCGTATCTTCGCCTGACATCACACTTTTGGAGCGCATTGACATGGCCATCTCTTCCATCTATACAGTATAGGTCCCTGACTACAGGTCCCTGATCTCCCCCTTTGGAGCGCGAAGACACCCCCGTTCCAGCGCACGTCCCAGCGGCTGCGACGCGCGGGTCTCCACCGAGCTGATGACGCGCGAGAGCCGATCCAAGAAGACCTGGCCGCCGGGAAACGGCCGGTGGCGGCCAGGGTGGCGGTGGTGCTGACAGGCCCCAAACCAACCACGACTGCGGCAGTTACAGATCTGTAACAGCAGAGCATGTACTGTACATGAAGGAACTCATGATTGAGGCGTCAGCTTGTCGGTGTCTGCAGTAAACATGTAAGAATCGTCAGACCGTACACCAGGAACAGTGCTTTTTTGTAAACATTGCCAGGACATGCCAGGACTCTCTCTGCTGCTGGAAGGGTCTCAAGAGGCAATTTGCTGGCGGATTGGTCAGGCCTTTCTGCTAGAAGCATTCAACAGGCCATCTGGCTATTGTATGTGCGAATGATTTTGTAAGAATTCTACAGGTCTGAAGATCCTCCTGTGCATCAACATTGTGTAAAGAAACGTATTCTGTTGCATCAAGTCCTTTATGTCCATCAAGAAGGACAGGGCGACAGGGCACCATCCTGCATCCGCATCTGAAGGGCACCGAGTTCGGCGGCTGAAACCCACCGGCGCTGGTCACAACGGCATCTGCCCATGACAGGTGCAGTTCGAGGTGACTGACGCCCCGGTGCGCAAAGCGCTTATAGCACTTCCAAGAACTCAAAGCAAAAATGGCTAGCCGGCTAGCCGCATGGGCAGCCATATCTCTGAAGTCTGAACCCACCAAATTCTTACAACCCTATTCTTACTGTATACCCTATTGCCAGTCATTGTCTGACCCTTCAACATCCACCCCAAGTTCTTGCTCCTCCCAGCTGGTGAGTCACAGTGATGAACCACCGACCCGACCGCGCCTCGCCCGGCGCGTGCCACTGCAAATCAATGGGCTCGACACCCAAGAGATGTTCGCCTTCAGTCGGACAGTCACACTACCGACCAGTCAGACGTCCAGTCAGACTAAGTCAGTACACGAGGAAAGCGAAGTGAAGAATGGAAGTGGATGCCATGGCCTCTTGGAAGATAATGAAATCCACTACAAACAGGGTGGTTTTGCCACTTCCATGTCAGTTCCAGGGAGAATATCGGTGTTCTATGACCATCTCCAGTCAAACGAGGTCGACCTTGACTTGACCATCTCCATGTGAATCACACGATCCCCCCCCAAACAATCCACCCGGAACGGTCAGGTGTTGGCATTCATAGCGTGAAGTTCAAGGCGAAACCTACCGGTTCAATACCTTATCAACTGGAGAGATGCCGCGGAATGCCGCGGATCTGCAAGACAAAGATCCATTTCGCACCCTGCGTGTCTTGGCCTGGTCCAGTGTCGGTCTACGAGCTAGTCGGTTTTTCTATAACACGTCCCTAGTGATGCGTTCGTGGGATTCTAGAAGGCATTTGTGATATGAATATGAAACGGCTCCGAAAAGTACCATTACATGGCATGTAAATACCCCGCAGGTGTTGTTCTTTCTTCCATTTTGCCAAGGTAAAAGTATATGTTCAAACAACATCCATGGGACTGCCATACATGCCGATCAGGCCAGGGGTGGTTGTTTTGAGGGGTCAATTGATCGGCATATATGGCAGTCCCAGACTGGTCGTGTCTGGGTATGTTCAAACAACATCCATGTCCGTTTGGGGTCAAGGCCCGGCCGCGGTCGGTCGAACGAACCGACCCTGCCAGGCCACGCAAGCGGAAGGCCAACGGAGAGTCTCCTGGCGAGCGAAGGGATACCGTCCAAGGTGTTGTGTTGGTCCTCCTTCAGCGGAAACTTCTCCGGGTTGTTGTTGGTTTCTTTATGTTTCTTTCATTAGAGGTCTGACCAAAAGCAAAAATAGGAGGCCATGTCATAGAAGGGAGCCTTCTCGAACTCCAATCTTTGAGTTTTTGTTCTCCCTGAATCGCCGTCCGAACTCTTTCGTTTGGGCCACCTCACGCACCGAAAACGCCTCACGCGCCCACCGTACCCCGCCGCACCTCGCAGCCAGGAGGCGAAGGTCACCAGGCGGGCAGCGCTCAAGGCCTCTTCGCCCAGATGCCACCGGAGCTCCTGTGGTGCCAAAGGATGCCGAAGGACTATGGGGCTCGATCTTGCACCCCCTGCGCGATTGCATGCTCCGAACTGAGAGTGGTGTGTGCAATCCCCACTTGCTGGGAAGTACAGAAGAAGAAGAAGAAGAAGAAGAAACAAAAACACTGAATGACGCACAATTCTGGATGAACAGTTCGCTGGATTAGTCGACCCCCGGATCGAGATTTACAGATCGAGACATGGATTGAATGAGATCGAACGGCTGTGAGAGTTGCAGACAGACTTGGAGACTTGGGGATATCATAGAACAAATGAATTGAAAAGAGGGGGTTGAGAAGGGTTTCGATCTTGAGGGGACACACTTGAGTTGCATTGAGGGCGATGTCTTCAAGAGTTGGTCTTTCAAGAGTCGTTTGGAGATCAATGACATTGACGAGAAATTGCATACTGGCTGTTCTGACTGTTGGCGCGGGGATGACATGGGAGAACCTGATAGACCAACTCGCAAAAATTGATGTGTGCGTGCGTATACCTTTTGCTCCACATCCAAAATGAGCGTATGGTGGAGGCGCACTCCATGGAGCTTAGTGGCCCACACCGAGCTTAGTGGCAGCGTGCATGGTTTGCCTTGTTATTGTTGACTTCATGTTGCGATCTTGTTGTGTTTTCTTCATTTCAATGGAACATCCTTGCTAATCTACCAGACCTCTCCCACCAAGGAAGCATGTAGATCCCAAGAAATGAGCTAAGGCATGCAACAAAGCACATTAAGCGCTGAAGAACAACTCGATCTCTATAGAGATCTCCGAGAAACCATGAATGGCCAAGAATTCCAATCCAATTGAACATTAGCATATTATCACCAAAGCCTACCCTTAGCTGGGCATTGCTGTTGATGCCTGGGCTAGCAATCTGACTCTTGGATCTCTACCATCCCCTCCCTCAACAGGATTTCTGGATTTCCTCGAAATAGATGGCCTGAGCCACTTTTGGGATCCCATCAGAAGCCACTTTTGCTCGAGAAAAAAAACAAATGTCTGGGCTCATGTCCAGCACTCCTCCTTCTCAGCGCTGGTCATCTCGAAGCCTGGAGGAAAGCATCGTGTGCGCACACGTTCCGACAGTTGGGTCCTCTTTGGTGATACACGAGCTTGGAATAGTAATTGGGATTAGGATTAATTAGGCCGTTGTTCCGTGTTTCTTCAACATTGTTTTTTTCAATGGTTTTTAAATAAGTCTAATCAACAATTAGCTGGAGGGTGTAACCCCGTCACGTAGCCAGAAAATTCACCCGCACCAAAATTAATAGTTTGCTAAAAACTGGCAAAAGGTATTCTCCTTCTCCTTCTTCGTGTAGACATGGGGAGACTATGAGGATGGCGTATTTGATTTAGCTTCAGTCAGTCAAGACCACCTGCCTATAGAGATGTCTTTACAACGAAATGGTCTCCATCTCCACAACTCCCAGTCTCTTCATTCAAAAAAGAGCAATGAATTCCCCCCCAAACCACTAAACTCTGCCACTTTTCCCAGCGTCCACCATCCACATGTCCACCATCCATCCACCATCCACCTTTCCTCTCGGTGATTCACTGACCATCCATCCATCCACCGATTCGTCGTCCACCTATCGTCCTCCCGCCTCCAGCGCTGAGCTGTTGGATCAGGCGTTGGAACTTCTCCTCCTCCACAACCACCCCGTGCCTGAGCCCTGCCTCCGTGAGGAAGTCCTCGCCGTGGTAAGAAACCGTCGCACGGTGGCGGTCGCGGTCCCCGTCGTCGGTAGCAGATACGACTGGCTTTTCAGGTCGGCGCAAATACCGGTGAGAGTGGGTGGGTACATACAAACCGGGTGATGCATATAGGTTGTGGGCCATTCTTGTGTGCGTGTGCTTCGCTGTTGGGTGCGAATTCCAAATAACTCATACTTCTTGCAGCGACGCGTGCAGCTCGGGTGCAGCGACGTGTGCGTGAAACATCCGTCGGAATCGGAACTTCTTCCCAGTCCTTCACCGTCATCATGCAAATGGGTGATAACACCTCACAGATCAGCCGCTGACTCTCCCGCCCGCGGTTGATCTGCGGTTTCGTTTTTGCGCGGCCGGCTTTGCTACATGCAATGAACAGAAAAAGAACGGGAGCAAACACTCCACGTATGGAATACAGGCCGACATTGACCCCTCAAACACCTTCATCCAAAGATGCCGTACATGGCTCATGGAGTAAATGGGATGTTTCTCCTCTGGCCCTTGCGGTTTTCACTCCTTTCCACCAAGCATAATAAGCCTGGGCACTGATTTCAAGGACCGGATGGATTTGGACCTTGCAGGATATAGGCTTCGTCTCGAGCACTGCTTTACATGCCCTCTCGCCTTTTGCTCAGTCACCCCCCAGTCATCGTTAAGGCAAACAAAAACACACCAGTCACAGACCCAACATCCAAAAGCTTTCAATTCAATTCATTCCTGGTCCCCCTCGGATCTCTTTCATTGCAATTTGGTAGCATGGAACATGCAAATACCACCCGCTAAGCGATGGCGCCCTCACTTGCCACTCACACCAGCCCAACTTTGTCATCCCCATTCACCATATCTGTGGTTGCCCAACCGTGCCGTGCCACCCACACGTGGACTGCCGCGTGGAATGCCCGCGCGCACACCGTGCTTTCTCGCGCTAAGCCACGTCCATCAATTCGCCCCGGAACTGCTCCACAGCTTCTTCCGCCCCAGCGAACTTCTCCACGAATGGGCCTCGCTTCCGGGAGGGGCGTTCGCTTCCGTCTGCGTTGCGGAAGCAACTGGTCCGGTCGTGCAAAGGTGGCCAAAACACCCTTTGCGTTTGGCAAACCACGCAGTGATCGAGCAGTTGGGCAGAGCAGAGGTCCTGTGCCACGTGGTGCAAGGATGGTGAAGTGGCGTCACGAGTGCCGGACGCAAAGAAAAGGTATGTCCGGGAGGCGTATTCACCTATTCACTGGCATTTCTGTCATGAGACATGCAACTTCCAACTTGAGGGTGCCCCATGTGTGATTTGTCATACTTGTCATACTGGCATCCTCCTAAAACCAAACCTTTGCCTCTTGGGACTTCTTCAAATGAATGGCAAATGAAGAGCTAGAGAGTGTGCGTTTCTGCGTTCACCACCCATCGCGGGCGTGGAACACCCGCAAAATCCCGATCTCTCAGCCTTTTTCCTGTCAGTCGGTGCTTTCACGTGAAGGAATTCACAAGCCCAACACTTAAGTCAAGTGGAAAAGAATATATATACAACCAACACTGAATTCCGCTCATCCCCAGCGATCCCAAGCGATCCTAAGCGATCCTCATGGCTTCCTCCGTCTTGAGATGCGACGGAGGTCACAAGAATTCGCCCAGCGGCAGAAGTCTTTGTTGCCCAACCTCGGCTGCGCACTGATGCACGGAAAGCGAAGAAGGACAGTGGATAAGATGATTCTTATACTGAAAAGTTTTGAAAAGTTTTGTGTAGAGTTGACACGACTTGACCCAAACCTATAGATAGACAGTCAGCAGTGCTCTGATAGACAGTGAGAAGTTGGGGGGGGCTCTTGCTTCAAGACACCCCAATCGAGATCATCCTTAAAGACTAGACTTTTTCTCATGGCCATCCGACAAAGATATTTTGACCCATACGAGTAAATGCTTGTACCGTCTGGGTGGATGACATAGCTGCCCTCACCCAACATCAAACGAATCCGGGTACGGCCTGTCCAGACGAACTGCATCCAACCAAAACATTAGTCCAACGTCCAACGAGCTCCCAGCTCCCAGCTCCCTTCATCACTCCGGAGGCGTCACCGAGCCACAAGTTGTCGATGACACCATGTCGCGGGGATAACCTACGGAGACAGGCGATGGATGACGTTTCTTCGATCCGCAGGGCGAGTGATTAAGACTGGGCTCAAGAGTCGGGACAGGGACCACGTGCAACCTGGTGCATTCCCAATCCGTGTTGAGGTCCAACGATGGTCCCACGGAGCTTCCGTAGTGACACGCAAGTGATCGGGCCATCCAGGGACAACCGATTCGGATGGCCATGGCCCTGAGGGATGTGGATGGCGGCCTTGATGTTAACAAGCCTAGTCTATATTTGAAGTTTGTTTTGCTCCACAGCCTTCCGATTCTCCGACAACCTCCGCATTCATGTGGCCTCTCGGCAGAGTCTTAACCATGCCCCTACTTTCCATGGTTGACACTTGAAACTCCTACTTTCCATGTTTACTTTGAACTTTGAGGGTCAATACAAGTTCACAAGCACAATACTGTACTCCTGAGTACTGCCCTGGAGCTGCGATTGCTGTGTTTTGCTCTGTCTCAGTTTTTCTCCATCTGCGCTGTCTGACGTCATCCACCCACCATCTGCCGACAGACGGCACCTCCCGGTGGTACAGAAGAAGCGCTCAGGCGGCAAGAAAGGCACGGGCGCCGCCGATGCGGGAAAGTCTGGATGCGGCAGACGTTCGTGGAAAAGCTCATACCTCAGGCAGCCCACGAAGCAAAGATTCCGATAGAACAGTAAAAACAGCAAACCCTCTTGAAAAATGAGTAGAGAACGGTTGAGAGAAATCTATAACTTGAAAGGAAAGGTCAACTGTTGGTCTATAGTTCGATGTATAATGTAGACTCTTGATTAGTCAACCCACCCCATTCGGACAAAATACCTCATGTGGGGGGGTATTACTAATCAAGAGTCTTCATAGTCTACATTAGTTCCTTGCTCTCTTTCATTCTCTGCGGAGTGAATTTTCTCAAAAGGTGGATTCCATCAGCACAAAGGTCTCCGGAAACCCGAGGGGCGCAAACCACCAACGTCGGCCCAGTGTACTGCCTCCGACGACGCCGCGCGCGTTTCGTGCACGCGGAGGCCCATGTTGCCGGTTGGAAGGGGATTTTTGGAGGGAAGGATTCCTACATCTAGTATACTATAGCTAGGAACACTGTTGAAAGGAGACATGCCAATGCCATTGGCATAGTATCTTTATCCAAAAAGCAGACTAGACTCGTTTCGACTCGTAAAAAGAACATGCTCATATTGATCGTAACTATGAACAATCTTTGAACTTGCTGACTTGCTTGTCAAACGTGGTGCAGCTTGTCGTCAAACAGTGCAGCCGATCGGAGTCCCGCTAGGTCGCTGGTCTCCGATTGCCCCGCTGGTCGCTCTGTTCAGTGGTCGGTGACAGAAGGATTGTCCCCCAAATTTGGTTGGAAGAGATAGACCCTAGGGCTCCAAGTACCTCCTCAGAAGGTATCTGGACCCTCTGAACCCACCCCAGTCCCACCTTCTGAGAAGGTATGACTGGAGCCCTAGGGAAACAGAGAGAGATAGAGGGAGATGCCCTAGGAAGATCACGGGCCACTCTGCTGAAGCTCTGGCCACCAGATGGTCGCCTGCCCGCGGAACCCGCCTTCTGGCAATGCTTGGAGGATGGCCGCAGCAACGGCCTTCTTTGCCTGGAACGGGGCAAAGAGGTGAAGAGCTGCCCAAACGTGGCTGTGGGGAGTCTATCTGATCCGTGGTCTGATCAGTTTGTTTCGACTCCTTTTCATCCCAATCTTGAGAGTCCGGCTGTCAACAGGATGGCGGGTCGACAGACGCCTGCATCCCCCAAAAATGAACATATCTGCAGCTTGGAGGGTCGAACTGGTCTCTCCCGGAATACGTGGTTCCCGTGGTTCCACGGTGCCGAGGGGTGACGTCTCCCAGAAAGAGCCGAGGAGAAGCGTCCAACTCGTGGTGTCTTCCGGGAACATGGATCAACTCGTCTTCCGTAAAAAAAACAATGATCGATATGTTCAGAAAAACGACACAATGTAAAAAGAAACATAAGGTAAACTGATGTAAACTGTAACCTTTCCAAAAACTGTCTGTTCCTTCTGTTCCTCTTATAGAAAAAGGGCAAAAAGAGCCGCATAAAACCAAATGCTGACGCTCCAAAAAAGGTCCTTCGAGCATAATCATCCTTCAAGGATAGACATCGAACGACGCCCCCCTCCCCCCAAAAAAAGACATAAACACCTCACAACAGCGACGCGGTCTCTGGACATCAAATCCAGGCAAGGCCTATGTTAGGCAGTGGGTCACACAACAAGTATATAACAGTGTCTTTTTATGCCCTTCTTGAGCACCTGCCGAAGTGGGAAGTGCTAAGCCGCCGTTCGACGGACACACGGAAAACAGAAAGAAACGCCCCAAAGAACTGCCGGCCTCCTCTGCATAACGCAGGTTATGCAGAAAGGGGAACCAGGGAAACTCATATGCCACGGCATAACCTGCAGTGCACCGGTGGGTCCGACCGACGCGACTCGCGCGTCCGGCAGACCCATCCGGGTGCGAACTTCTCCCTGCGTGGAAACGGTGGAGAAGGTCGGACCCCTGCCATGAAGGGCCGGTTCGGATTCTTAGGAGTTTAATATATTATGAAGTCAAACTGTGGAACAAGGGAAGATGGTGACACTCTTGAGATGCTGAAATGCTCCACCGAAAGCCGAAAAGTCCTGACAGGTTGACATTCTTGGACACTCTACCAGGTTACCAAGCATCCACCTACCTGGATCTTCCAATGACTGGAAATTTTCAGGAGTTCTCGTGTTTAACCCTATATCACTACTTTTTCAGCATCTCAACTGAAACAACCTAAACGACTGGTTTTTGGTCTATATGCATCAGAAGGGTGGATCTTGACCATATCGCAGCCATCTTGGCTTTTTTGGGCATGGGAGCCCGTCAAGCAGGCGCTCTGGGTGGGACATCTGTCATTTCATCGCATCAGCACCGCCGCAAAGTATTCAATCCTTGGATTGCACTGGCAGGCTGATGGTGATCAAAGTGATGCCGATGCTTTGAGGCTGAGACATTTTGGTTACAAACCTGCGACAAAACTTAAGGCTATGTGACTTGCACATGTATAGTTGTTTGCTTGGCAGCCTTCTTCAACACAAGCTCTCTAGATAGATCCTTTGATTCCAAGCAGCTGCCCAGAGCCGATAAATGACCCCATGCCAGGCTGCGTGGACATATATACCTGGGATGAGCACAGGCGTGATCCCGGTTGGGGATCTTCAGACTGTGATGGGTTGAGTGGTCCGCATAGCTCTTTGTGCACAAAACACGATGTTTGCACCCAGTGCCTTTTCCATAGGAGACTTTTTGGCTCGCTTTGCAATCCTCAACCTGGTAGCTGTTTTTCTCACATGGAAGAGATTGACGAAGAAAGAGAGAGGAGAGTGTCTGCTGTGGCCAAAGCTTGGGAACGATGTACACAGCTTCGACGTGCAGCCAAAACATACTCCCTGGTCCTTTCCTCAAGTCGATGCTTAGGGTTCAGGGTGTAACTGTCAGACCTCCATTGTTTCACACGCATGCATCCTCACTCTCCAACTTAGGTGAAGGCAACTGGTAATCGAGTATGTCGTGACACTGTTAGGGTCAACGCCAAATTCCTGAAGATCGCGATTGAGTACTTGGGTCACAGGATTGCGATCCCAACAATGGAGGTTCACATCGAGAGTTTCTATGAGTATTGCCAAGTGCCTATCAATAGATCCTCAGTTGCAAGTGTGGCAGCAAACCCATTCACAATCCCACGGCAAATTAAACTTTAAACGTCTCCTTCCCAAACAAATGTTCACCATGTGGTGACCCGAGGTAAGTCGATCGAGGCCCAAGCTTGGACAGCGAGAAGGTGCGTGAGCTTATTCAATGATATTTGTCGGAGGCCTCACGTCCCCCGAGAGGTAGAGATCAGAGACCTAATCCGCGAATTGAATATCAAGCTGCCAGAGAGGCACGAGGAGGATCCCATAGACGGATGTACGGAAGAGGGTTCTGAGAGCGAGGAGGCAACTGAGGACGAGCCAGTGGACTTGCCATTAGGTTCCTTGAAGTACATGTTTGTTTAAAGTTTAAAGACTTTTCTGAAACCACCAGGGCCTTCGGACTTCACACCGCGCATGAGGCTTTGCCGCCTCTGCCGCGAACTCCAGCCAAGCAAAGAAGCTGGACAAGGCTCTGAGTTTGAGCTGATTGGGATATTCCCTATACATATATATTGTCCTTACCGTTACCTTATGCTTAAATTGAGTAAGTGTTTGCACCAAAACTTGCATGTGGCCCATGTCCGGTATATCACCTGTGTTGTCAACTGCTAGCTGGCCCTTTGGGTCTGGACAGACCTGATCTTTCTTCCAGGGACCCAACAAACTCAACACTTAATTCATTGGGGAGATGTTTCAGTGTCACATCTGTGGATACCTGAAGTCGCTGGCAGGTGGACGGTGCTCCTTCGCAGGCATCTGGCAGAATCTCTGAGGCGTGTGGTTGAGAGTGAAGCAAGGCAAATTCAACCACTATCCAAGCTCAAGACATAAATGACACCCGTGCCTTTGCATATGACACGTCTTGGTTGTAAAGATGTTTCAAATTCAAGGAAACCTCAAAATTCAAGGGGCAAAGCCGACACCATTGACAACATGGTGCCTTTTGATAGTTGCCCTGAGTTGCCCTAAAAGGGCACCAGAGGGACACCGGCGTATTTAAGTAAAATGCTTGCAGGTTGCCCCACAAGAGCCGAAGCTTTGCAAGCCGCTTGCACCAGTTGATGAGGCTCGACCCGGGCTGGCGCTGGGTTCTACAAGAATTGGCTTGCCTATGCTTGCCCCCTATCCAGTGCTCCCAAATTGGAGGCCCTGAAATGGACCCAAGTGCCCTCATAAACATGGAAAGTTGCAATCGACGAACATGTAGCTATGATGTCCACGAAAGGCTGTGGAATGGTGATCAGGGCTGCCCATCCTGGTATTTTCCACTTTGGGTTCACTTTTAACAAGTGTCCTGGGGACCCGTTTTTTAGATCAAAAAAAGGGTCTCCAGGCCACTTGTCAAAATCAAAGAAGTTCACCCAGCTCTAAAGCAATTGCCAGCCCATCCGCAGACCGCACACATAAACCAAGCTACTGGTTTCCACCAGGCCCTTCCTGATCATCGAGAACATCTGCGGCCACCTGCTGAAACAGCTCAGGCTGGATGACCAAATCACTGAACCTATGGGAGCCTTTGATTGATAGAACTTGGCGGCCTTTGATACAGTTGCACTATACCGATACCAATTACGTTCAGCACGTGTGAAAAATCCAAGCCCAGGTGAGAACGTTCAGGTTGAAAGGCAAGGGTTTACAGGCATTCAAAACAAGAGGCAACAAACATCAACCAAGATTTGTGGCGACGGTCTTTTCAGTTGGGGCTCATGGCAACGCCTCTTCCAGGCACCAGCCGTGTGCAGCACTCCAGTCACACCCGCCTGCGTTAAGAAGGCGGGACTGAGACATCATCTCCGGATGTTTGGGTTTTCCGTGCCAATTTTCTACTTTGGCAATTTTCCAGCCACGCCAAACAAAGTGGAATTGACAGTTGACCGTTCAGGACAATTCTGGCTTGGAGGTGGCCAAGAGTCGAAACCCTACCAACACAAGCCAACAGACCCTAAAAGATACTATTTTTGGGGGGGCCCTTTTTAAACACCAAAACAATCAAAAAAGGGCACCCAAAAAATATCTTTTAGGCCTTTCTTGGTATTTGTATCTAGCAATGTCACTGACAACTTCTTGCCACAACCCTGTTTCATTGAGGATTGGAATTTGGAGCTTTGCAAACCCCGCCCAAGGTTGAACAACTCAAGGCACTAGTCTCGGAACTCCATGGAAGCTGTTTGTGATTCATGCTCAATAGATAGATCAAGTAATTTCTCTGAATCTTGTTGGCGGAGGTCCTTCAGGTAGAGCAAGCCAAACTGCAGCGACTCCTAAAGTTGAAACAGCTTCAGCAACTGCAGCGATCCTTGGAAACACTGTTGGCCAAGAGGAATTCTTCCGCGCCATTGGGACCCCCGACTGGTAGTGGTGGCTTGTTTGCGTGATCATGTTCCATGTGCTGTGTATATGGCCATAGCTGAGCATCGTCTTTATTCCTAGGTATGGACACCGCTGAGACACAGCCAGTGGAAATCGACAGCGTTCCTCAGCCAGAAGAGAGGGAACCTTCTGAGGAGCATGGTGGGCTTCAATTTCCCGAGGTAGAGATTGAAGTGAAGAATGGAGAGGTAAGCTGTGTCAGAGTGTTCAAAGGTGGAGCCCAACCAGAGCATGACAGAGAGAGTGAAATGGAGAGGAGCCAGTTCGATCAGCTGAAGGAGGGTGCTTCGATAGATTTGGAAAAGAAAGGTGACAAGAGTTGTGGAGGAAAGGATCTCCTGGTTCTGCCTGGCAACGTTGAGGACAAAGAGCCTGAAATCCATGAGATCCCAGAGCCAGCCCAATCAGGGATCTTCAGCGCAAAGATTGTTCTTGCCGAGACTGACCAGAAGAACCTGGAGTCTTGCACCCCAAAGGTGCCGCAAGCAGCTGCCACTGATGAAGTAACTGTGCCTGTGATTGCTGGACAGGGAGGCAAAATCCCGGAGCTGCCGCAAGCAGAGGCTTCCAGCGCAAAGCCTTTGCCTGCCAAGACTGACCTGGTCCTGGTGCAATCTGAAGCTCAGAAGCTAGCGGCCCCTACGGAAGAGACTTTGGCCGCCAAGACCAAAGAGAACCAACTTGAAGGCCGGAGTGAAGAACCTGTTGAGCCCATGCCAGAAGCAGTCCCTGAACTCAAAGCTCCCGAGGAACCACCTTCCAAGCGAGCTAGGAAGCCAAAGCAGGAAGCTGAGACGAAGGACTCTTCCATGATGCAGGCAGAACGCAAGGATGATGCGCCGGCTGGTTGGGGGAAATCGGGCTACATTTCCCCTGAAGAGCAAGCCGCTGCCAAACCCAAAGCAAAAGCGAAGGGGAAGGCCAAAGCTGTGCCTAAGCCTAAGCCTGAGAAAGTCAAGAGGGCTCGGGGAAGGCCTGCTGGCAAGTCAGCTCAGGCCAAAGCAAAGTCAAAGGCCGCAAAGACTTTAGTGCCAAAGAAGGACACTGCCCGCGGAAGGTCTGCCAAGACCAAGAAGAACGAGCGCAACTCTCCCGAGTCTGAGGATGCGCAGAAGGCAAGCAGAAAGAGGGCAGGAGAGAGCGTAGAGGCTAAGGCCACCAGAAAAGTCCGAAAGGTTGAGACTGACCCACACGAAGCTTTGCGCAGCAAACGGTGCTGTGCCTACCAAAAGGTTTTGAGGTCGCTGTTGAAGCAAGGCATTCCCAAGGAAGAGGCCCAAGTGCAAGCACGTGCCGCAGCTTTACTGCATTTGTGATGCGCATCGTTAACTACGAATATGTTTAATATATATATATATGCATGTGCAATGTGTGCATTGGCAAGCTGGCTTCTGGCCATGTTCCTAGGCATACCGAGACTTCAAAGGATGATTGCTCTGCGAGATGAGTACGGGTTGGCCTGGTGCTTGAACACCAGCATTGGGGTTTGTCCATAGCAGGATGGACGGTTGGTGCACAGTAGCCTAGCTGTCTGACTTACCTGCTGCGGTGAATACGATGGGGTCAAAAGCGTGCTTTCCTGGAACGTTTCAATTACAGTGCATGTGCACAGGCAAACTGACAGGTTTCAAAACCAAAGGCCGCTGATGGAGCCTTTGGTTTGGGCGACTTACATCCGTTTGCCTGCCATGCTGTGCAGGCCGGGCAAGGCACGAGAGATGGGCTACACGGATGCTTTCCAGTAGTGCAGCCGGCTTTGTTTACAGAATGGTGCCAGGGACCTGCGTTTGCTTTCTCTTTCGCACTTGCCCGCAATTGCGTGTGTTTTGTAGATGTGTGACTGATCTGGCCGCCAGAAGGCTTCAGGGACGAGTTTAGGCCTTTCCTGGTGTTTACAGATGCCGCACCGGAATGAATCTGTCCTTGTGGCACTGTACCAGTGTCAAGCTCCAAAGGCTGGCTCGTGTTATGCTGTGCGCTCTGTAGCTTCACAGTGTACTGTCGTTTTCAAACATGTATATTGTTTATACATACACACACCTTTGCGCAGGTACTTATGGCGTGTGCTTCTCTGCGTGAATAGACCCAAGCAAACGCACCAGCAAACTTCTAGTCTTTAAGAGCTTGGTTGGATATCTCAGGTTCTTTTGCTTTTGTGGAGTGGCTATGGTCTAGAGCCCAAGTTCAACATGGTTGAATATTTCTCTGGCCACGCGCAAGTGAGCGCAGCTTTTCGGGAATGTGGAATGTCTGTGGCAAGCTACGACATCGAGTATTGTAGCAGGTCCATGGATTTCTTGTCTGAAGGAGGGTTTGCGTCTCTCGATTGAATTGGTATGACTGGTGGGTTTCTTTGTGTGCGAGTGCATGTTGGAAAGTTCCGGGCTCCTTGCACGACTGCTGTCCTACCATGATTAAGTCTTAATTCTCAAGGGTGGCCATCTCTTTGGCACTGAGCACGCTTCCCCTCGGACTTCATATATACGCGCCTGATTGCAGCAGTTGGACAAGGATAAGTCGCGGGTCCAGCCTTAGAGATCAAGTGTGTTCGCTTGGAGATCTCTCAAAAGCATGGGTCCAACGTGGCAACAAGATGTGCTCCCGGCGCCTTGTATATCATAGCCATGTGCGCAAGAACGTGCAACAAAACAAGGACAAGCAAACGACAGCAGTACTGTAAAGCTTTGGTAAACAGCGGTGGGGGTTAGGTAGGCTGGTCCAACCCAGGCTATGTCTTCTCCTCATCCTTTCTACGGCACTTAATTGCATTTGGCTTGTTGAACAGCCATCTGGATCGTCGGACACGATCTTTCGGCATCCTCGCTTGGATCTTTTCAGCAATGTGATATCATGGGAAGCTTGCCTGCCCATGGCTTGTTTTTAGCTGGTGCCAAACCAAGAAAGGCCAACAGACCCTAAAAGGCAATTTTTGGACGCGACCTTTTTAACCTGTGTTAAAAGCTTTTTAGACATAAGAAAGGTCGCGTCCAAAAATTGCCTTTTGGGGTCTGTTGGCTCATGTTGGAATAGGATAGAATTCACGCGA